ATGAAGCCCCTGTTGACACACCTGCCACCAAGTAAACGTGGTCACTCCCTGCTCGTGGCTCCACTGCGCCCTGAAAGCTTCCACTGTGGCAAGCATAACTTTTATTGCACTAACATATTGATAAAGGTTAATCAGAGGGAGCATGGCGGCTTATTCCTGAGTCCTACTATGAGAGGATACAGAGAGAAATGAGACGAACCTCTTGCCATTGGGGAGCTCATTGTCTGTTGGGGCAATATTAACTTCGAACATGATCTTCATTTCAGGGCTAGAGATCTACACAGGGTTGTTATGGAGACACTTTAACCACTTGAGTAGGGGATATCAGGTGGCACAGTGGTAAAGAACCTGCCTGCCAATGCAGGAGACCCAAGAGACACGGGTTTAATCCCTGGATCAGGAAGACCCCCTGGAGAAGGAAATGGTGACCTGCTCCAGTATTCTTGCCTGGAAAATCCCATGGACAGAGAAGCTTAGGAGGCGACAGTGCCTGGGATCACTCAGACACAACAGAGTGCACACACAACACAACACAGTAGGGGCTATCATTTGGCAGACTCCTAGGAAGGCTCTCTGCAGAGCGCCTTTTACCTGCTATAAAGAGAGATCCGGTGCCATCGATATAATGATCTCAGACATCCCAACCTCAGTCTCTGTCACTTATGTGTTGGAGGAAGCTTTGAGTCCCAGGTGTAATTGGTAGGATCTCAGAGAAGTAAGGGGAACAATGGCCCATGTTTACTGTAAGAGATGGGGGGTTTTCAATATATAAGGACTTTCTCATGGTGTGGTAAAGTTGTGAGGATCCCAGGTAGAGCCAGGGCTGCTAAAAGGTTTGCAAGGAAGAGATAAGGGCATTGTTTAAGGCTGTTTGGTATCCTTACAGGTCAGAGAGGTACTTTTACTATGAAAAAAAGAAAGGAGAGACAGATGTAAAAAAGCATTTGAGTCAATGAAGATTACCCTTGTCCTTATCTGAATGACTACTGTAATAGTCAGACTTGCTAGGTTATGCTGCTGTAACAAACAGCCCCACAATCTCAGTGGTTTATTTCTCATTGACATTACGTGCTGACCTCAGAATGGCTGTGGTCCTGACCTCTATGTTTTTCATTCCAGGATCCAGACTGACTGAAGGAGCAGTGCTTTTCTTGGACTGGGTCATTTTGGGGCAGAGAGACAAACATGGTGGTGGGCCCACTCAATAACTCCTATAGCTTCTGTTGGAAAGTGGTATGTGCACTTCACTCATATTTAATTGGTCAAAGCAATGAGGTTCAATCTCACAGAAGGGACCAGAAAATGACAAGAATATAATTTACACAATTTACCACAGCTACACAGAACCCTAAGATTAAAAGCTGATGGTTCTGAAGACAGGTGACCAAGAATATGTCATACAAATTAGATTGACAAGTGCAACTTGAACCAGGAAAAATATGAGAGTAATCTGTTGAAGAAAGAAATATGAAAAAAATCAAGGATTTCCCAAGATGGTCCAATGGTTAAGAATCTGTCTTCCAATGCAAGGAACTTGGGTTCTATCCATGGTTGGGGAACTAAGATCCCACAATCTGCTGGGCAAGTAAGCCTGCTCAGTCCAACTACTGAGCCCACATGTTCTAGAGCCTGTGCCCTGCAACCAGAGAAAGCCCAAGTGCTGCAATGAAGACCGAAACATCTTCCACCCTCCCAAAAAAGAATCAGAACTTGCCTAATAAACAAAGCTTAAAAACTTCAGAAATCAAAAATGTATATAGTGAGGCAAATTTTGCTGTCTTTAACCGACAAACCAAAAATCAGACTAGCAAACAAAACAACCAGCAAAGTGTCTTACTTCAGACATGAGCCCACTGAAGCCCACCTGTTTTGAGGCTCATGGATGGGTTTTGGCAGGTCACACAAGGCATTTAGAGGAGAAAATGGATCTAAAACAAGCACTTTCATGATTAGCATCATCAGTTGTGCTGGCAACGCTACTCTGTCACTCAGCAGCCAACAAAAGTTCTACTCATCTTTTTTGGTTTGCCTCCAATGCTGTCTTTTCCCAGAAACTTTCCTTGATCACTGTTTTGTGTATGAATTGCATCTTCCTTAGATGTGATGGTACTTGCACCTCTATTTAATATATTGCCTTTATTATAGTTCATTATTTACTTCTGCCTCCTCACCCCCAAGACAACTGTGAACTCCTTGAGGGCAGAAACAGGAATTTATACATTTTAGGGTCTCCCATAGTGCCTAGTACGGAGAAATGCACACAAAGGAACACAATTCATTGTTGTTTAGGTTCAGAAATTTATGATCTTGTTCGAAGCCTCTTGACAGGCAAATGTTAGCCCCATCTGTGAGGTGTTCCCAGAGCCTACATGCATAAAGGAAGAAAGAAATGATTGTTAATGACAATTCTAGGGCTCCAACTCACCAGTACAGTAAGAAAGCCTTGGTAAGATAGGCAAAGGGGGAGGAAAGGATTGGGAGCAGGGGGTTGTGTGAGTGTGAGGTTCTTTGAAACAATATCAGTATCTCTTTGTTCCTGTGCTATCTAGATTATTTTGTTCCTTTTAGTTGCTTCTATTTTTCTTTTCTTAGTATAAAATAGTAATTAGTTACATAGGTCTTGGTTTCAATAAATTGTTTTAGGATGTGGTTTGATCTCAGTTATGCAAACACTCAGAGCAATATACAGTTAATTTGAGGCCTTAAATATGATATTAGACTGAAATGCATTAAAATTATACAGAGGGCTATGTAGAGTACTTATGTTCATAATATAGAGCATGAATATTTTTAGACTTTCTGATATTAGATTTAGGTGTGCTTGTTCTATTTTGTAAATCAAAGAATTGGCCTATATCTTTGATCTATGTGTTTAGGTTTTTATGGTGACAGATATCTTATAATAACTAGAAATAGAAATTCCATCTTTAGTGATAATACAGTATGGGGATCTAAGAAGAGAAGGTCTTAAGGTGCAGTTAATTAGCAGAAATCTGAAGCACACAGTCTCAAAGCAATTAAGGCTGTTAATTGAATATGTGGATGCATGGTGGAATGGCTCATATGTTGTTGGGCAGGGTACCCTAGGCTGGCAGAGAGCAGTTACATTATACATATGAAGTTGAAAAATTCACAGACAACAAATATGGGTAAATGTACATTTGTCTAGTAGTTAACTGGATTTATGCATGGCGATACATTGTGGGCTATATGCAAATTTGTCTATGAGAAGCAAAATCCAGCATTAACTATTCAATCTTTCAGCCTATCTGTGGGGAGATATGGCATAAGACATATGGCATACCTTTTATTCACTGAAAACTGAGTTTTTTCAGGAGATTTTGCTGTCTTCTGATTTGGCAAACATCTCTAATTCACATGCTCCTTTAAATGAAATTGGTGGTCACACAATGGCTGCCACCTAGCATCCATGCAATTTTGGGGGTAGAAGGGAATGGACATTGTTGATGAGCTCAAGGCCTCTAAGGGATCTTGTTATCAAGATCTTCCTGGGTTCTGTGAGTTGCAGCATTTCATGAATGTATGAACCTACTTCTAAAAAGAAACTTTATTGAAATGTTCAAGACTGTGAAAAAGGTTTCAAAAACATAAAGAGAAATAAAATGTTCCTTTTAGAAGAACTTAAGTGGAAAGTGGTTAATATTTGGGATAGTGCTCATTATTTTTAAAGGCTATATCTATCCCCCATTCCCTTCTGTCCTTCCCCTCACCTCCACCCCCGCCGCCCCGGTGCATGCTCAGTCTTGTCCCAGTCTTTGTGACCTCATGGACTGTAGCCTGCCAGGCTCTTCTGTCCGTGGGACTTCCCAGGCAAGAATACTGGAGTGGGTTGTATTATGCACACAGTCCTAAAAATGTGAGGTTAACCTGCACTAGGTTATTGATTAGAACAGGAGGTTGAAGTCATTCACGCTGGATTGAGAAGCATATTCAAAAGATGACTTTTTGGAGCAGGAAAGTTCCTGTTTGTTATGTAATGTGTGCGTTTCATTATTTACACGATTTCCCCGGGCGATTGGGAGCTGTGTACACAGCCAGCTGCGTCCGAAGCAGCAACCCAGGCTTGAAATAAAACTAAACAGCCTTCTTTTATTGACTTTCACTCCTTATGCCTATATTTTTTTTAATGGAAAAATTTCCCTAAATTACGTCTCTAGATTAAAACGATTTTTTTCCCTTAAATATTTGTAGGAACTCTAGGCTTCCTGGAAAATTTTCCGTACTCCTTTCCACTGGTCTCTAAGGATGAATTAAATTAAAAAGTGAATATTCAATGACAAAGATTCGGAGCGGGAAAGTTTTTTGGTTTTGGTAAGGGGTTCTCAAGCCCTCTCTTATCGGGGTAATCCATCTCTCTTCTCCCGACCCACTTCGTTCTTTGTGGTATTTCCTGGAGTCAGATGACAATACCCAAGGGTAGGGAGCCCTGGCCAAGGCTCTGCGCGCCGGGTGCTCAGGGCAGACCCCGGGGTTCTAGAAGGAAGGCGCGGGAGCGGGGTGTGTGTGTGTTGGGGGGTCCGGTGTGTGTGTCGTTGGCGGGGGCGGCGGGGTCCGCCGTTTCCACGGCTTCGCCCTGGAGCCCCGGCCTTTCCCAGCGGTCCACCGCAGGCCCGGCCCGAGCGCAGGGGGCGGTCCCTCCCGTGCCAGCCCCGCCCCGGTCGGCTTTATAACCTGCCTGCTCGAGCTCCAGGAGCCGCCGCTTCTCTTGTGCTCCTGCCCCGGCCCGCCGCCCGAAAGGCTCCCGCCTGGCACTCGCGCGTGCTCGCACCCACGTGGCCCTTCACCGCACGCGCTCACACTCACCCCCGCTCACACTCATCACCCTCGCACACACGCGCGCTCACACTCACGGGAGCGCTCCCCCTGGAACGCGCGCTCACACTTTCGCGCTCACACCCCACTCGCGCCCCGGAGCGCTCGCTCTGCAGGGGCGCGCAGGCACCGCCGGCGAGAGCGCCGAGGGGACCCACGGCCTCCCCATGGCTGACCTGAGCTTCATTGAAGATTCCGTGGCCTTCCCGGAGAAGGAGGAGGATGAGGAGGAAGAGGAGGAAGGCGTGGAGTGGGGCTACGAGGAAGGTAACCCGCCGCGTGTCAGGAGGCTGGCGCTCCCCGCGCCTCCGCCGCCCCTCTTTCCCACGTGGGTCCCCGGCCCGTTTAGGAGCAGGAGGCGCTCGGGGCAGAGCGGGCATCGCCCGCGTGCTTCTCCGGGAGCCCGGCCTTGGTGCCGGGCAGCGGTTGGCACCTGCCGCCATCCGGTGGGCGAGCCCGAAGGCTGCGTTGGTGACGGTTCCGTCTGGCTAGTAGCGAGAAGAGCAGCCTTAACTGTTACTGAACACCTTGAGAATGTAGCGTTACTGAAACTCTTATTTTCTTTCTTTGAAAAAAAAAATTCTTTGGTTTACAGAGTTGTGTTAGTTTCAGATGTACAGCAAAGTGACTCAGTTATACAAACGCATATATTCACTCTTTTCCAGATTCTTGTCTCTTATCGCATCCGTGAAACTATTTCTGGCTTGCCTGCGGGCAGAAAGTAACTATTTGAGCTACTGAGTTTTCTAGAAGGATGCTGACACCGTTCAACTTTTTCTGAACAAGTCCTAAGTTTTTGAGCTGAATCATTGGGCTTGGCAAGATGGGGATTGACCTTGTATAAAAAGTTTAGTTTCCTAAAATGTATCCCTGAAGATGTAGGACTCCTAATGGAGCTGACAATTGGTGCTGATGTTGACTACATATCTGCAACAAATGTTGAGTTTATAACTTGCATGATGCAAATATGGAAAGAGTATTAGCTATATATGCATGATATATAGGTATGTATATATAGGAGTATGTGTGTGTGTGTGTGTGTGTGTGTGTGTGTGCGTGTGTGTGCTCAGTTGCTGAGTCATGTCTGACTCTGCAACTTTATGGCCTGTAGCCTGCCAGGCTTCTCTGTCCATGGGATCTCCCAGGCAAGAATAGGAGAATGGGTTTCCATTTCCTTCTCCAGGGGATCCTCCCAACCTAGGAATAGAACCCATGTCTCCTGCTTGGAATGCGGATTCTTGACCACTGAGCCACCCAGGAAGCCCTGTATATATGAATATGCACACTTCAAACTACTGGTTGCATTTCTGATAAGAAATTTTTACTCACTAGCGTCAAATTTTTGGTTTTTGATTCTCACTAAGAACGTTGAAAGTTACAGGAATTTTCCAAGTACTTAACATAATTGAACTAATGAGCAGAGGAAATTTTTGTGGTATTGTTTTTTTTTCTAATCACTTAAAGATCTGAATTTCCTAGAGCCATAAATTAGTACCTCTATGTACGCAAATAGAATATTTTGTTAGTCTGGGACTCTGAATGTGATATTAGATAACATTAGAGCATTCAACCTATGAGTGCAAAGATGAACGCACTTTATTAATACCATGTCTTATCTGTAAAGAGACAGTAGTCATAATCTTCTTAATAATGGCAAGGATCATAAACAATGTTTAAACTAGTTTTCCCGTGTTAAATTTTGCTGTAACTTATTTTTTCAATCCGTTCTAAGTTTGCTTCATTTTGTCCCCAGGTGTTGAGTGGGGCTTGGTGTTTCCGGATGCTAATGGGGAGTACCAGTCTCCCATTAACTTGAACTCAAGAGAGGCTCGATATGACCCCTCACTGCTGGATATCCGCCTCTCCCCGAATTATGTGGTCTGCCGGGACTGTGAGGTCGCCAATGACGGGCATACCATTCAGGTTATCCTGAAGTCGAAATCAGGTATTTTAGATGTTTCTGTGTGCTTCTTATTAAACTAGAAGTCATTGCCAAGCTAATTTAGCTTGTATGACCTTAATGGTAGGACTAACCTATCTCTGTTGTCAGGATACCTTTATATACCATAGCATGAATTTTGGGGGAATTATTTTCTGAAACATTTTGAAAGGATGAAATTATGAAGGTGTCAGTTGGTTGTCCCATGTTATACGATGTTGTTGGAACAACCTTAGTTGGTCAAATTCCAGCTCTGTAAAATTTGAGGAAGAGTATATACACATGTATGATGCTGAAGCTCCAGTATTTTGGTCATCTGATGTGAACAGACGACTCATTGGTAAAGTCCCTGATGCTGGGAAAGATTGAGGGCAGAAGGAGAAGAGGGTGTCGGAGGATGAGATGGCTGGACGGCATCACTGATGCAATGAACATGAACTTGGTCAAACTCCGGAGATGGTCAGAGACAGAGAGGCCTGGTATATTGCAGTCCATGGGGTCTCAAAGTGTTGGACATGACTGGGCAACTGAGCAACAACATACAGAAGTATACAAATCTTTGTTTTGTCCAAAGTGTTGATTAGCTCAAATCATTTAGATAATTATAATTCTGTCTTACTGCTTTGTAAAACTGAATATCAGCATTTATTGATATAATTTGGTATCCAAGATAGACTTTTCAAGGTAATTTTCTTTACTATATTAATATATAATTATATATAATATAATTAATAGTAATATTAATATAATTAATATGGCAAGAAGAATTTTAATTAATAGCAGTCAAAATCAGTCTCTAAACTCAGTGAAAGATTTAAATGGCAAACAAAACTCTTACTTTTTATTTTTTTAACTCTCCTCCTCCCTTCTGAACCTATTTGAGATGGATCTGAAATGTTTTTTAGAAAAACTATTGGATAATTACCAAGGAAATTGCTTTTTTGCTTATATATGGGGGAGAGGAGAGCAGAATATTTTAAAATTAGCATTAATTTTTTGCTTTTCATAGTGAATACTAACTGTACTTCTTGGGAAGAATGTAAAATCAGGAATATGTTGAAATATTGGGGAGTATTTAATAAACAGAGACTAACTGTACTCAAATTAATTATGAATCAATAAATTTGATATTTCAAGCCATAAAATCTTTTGGTTTAGTGTTAGACAGGACAGGTATTGATTTCCAACTATGAATATTTTATTCATTGTGAATATTCAGTTCAGTTCAGTTCAGTTGCTCAGTCGTGTCCGACTCTTTGCGACCCCATGAACTGCAGTACGCCAGGCCTCTCTGTCCATCACCAATTCCCGGAGTTTACTCAAACTCATGTCCATCGAGTCGGTGATGCCATCCATCCATCTCATCCTCTGTCGTCCCCTTCTCCTCCTGCCCCCAATCCCTCCCAGCATCAGGATCTTTTCCAATGAGTCAACTCTTCGCATGAGGTGGCCAAAGTACTGGAGTTTCAGCTTCAACATCAGTCCTTCCAGTGAACACCCAAGACTGATCTCCTTTAGGATGGACTGGTTGGATCTCCTTGCAGTCCAAGGGACTCTCAAGAGTCTTCTCCAACACCACAGTTCAAAAGCATCAATTCTTCGGCACTCAGCTTTCTTTATAGTCCAACTTTCACATCCATACATGATCACTGGAAAAACCATAGCCTTGACTAGACAGACCTTTGCTGGCAAAGTAATGTCTGCTTTCTAATATGCTGTCTAGGTTGGTCATAACTTTCCTTCCAAGGAGTAAGTGTCTTTTGATTTTATGGCTGCAATCACCATCTGCAGTGATTTTGGAGCGCCCCCCTCCCAAAAAAAGTCTGACACTGGTTCCACTGTTTCCCCATCTATTTTCCATGAAGTGATGGGACTGGATACCATGATCTTAGTTTTCTGAATATTGAGCTTTAAGCCAACTTTTTCACTCTCCTCTTTCACTTTCATCAAGAGGCTTTTTAGTTCCTCTTCACTTTCTGCCATAAGGGTGGTGTTATCTGCATATCTGAGGTTATTGATATTTCTCCTGGCAATCTTGATTCCAGCTTGTGCTTCCTCCAGCCCAGCATGTCTCATGATGTACTCTGCATAGAAATTAAATAAGCAGGGTGACAATATACAGCCTTGACATACTCCTTTTCCTATTTGGAACCAGTCTGTTGTTCCATGTCCAGTTCTAACTGTTGCTTCCTGACCTGCATATAGGTTTCTCAAGAGGCAGGTCAGGTGGTCTGGTATTCCCATCTCTTTCAGAATTTTCCACAGTTTATTGTGATCCACACAATCAAAAGCTTTGTGAATATTCCTGAGCTTTAATTTAGAGTCTTCCTGGCTACTCTGAGTCTAGACAAGGTAAAGCTGTTTCCCAAAATAGAATCTAAGGTGTAGTCCAAAGGGCAGTGTCAGATATAAACTCGAACTTAAGTCAGGTTTTTTTGGGGGAGGGCTATCTATGATGGGGCATCATGTATTAATTTTAAGGTATGTAGTAAAATTATTGAATGCTGACTGTCCTGACATAGGAAACATGATAAGGTAATGTTAGTATTACACTGTAAATTATCTTGGTTTATGTCGACATACCATTTCATTTCTGTAAATAAACATTTACATATCTGTACAACTAACATGCATTTCACATCAGGCACCATGGTGATTGAATATTGGTTTGTATACAGATGGGTAAGATGGTTCTTGAAGATTTCTATTAATGACAACACAGTCCTCTATGGTGTCAATGTAAATGCAACCTGGTGTTCTAAAAGTGTCTCAAGAGTGTAGAGGAATGAACAAGTCCAAATGCTGTCAATTAAGACAATTTGTGTTCATTCCTGCTTGAAGATCAAATTTACTCCATTACATTGAGTTTGCCATTTTTTTTCTGGTGCCTTCTCAAGCATTCACAATTTTCTGTGGCCCCTCAGTTCAGGTCAGTCACTCAGTTGTGTCCGACTCTTTGCGACCCCATGAATCTCAGCATGCCAGGCCTCCCTGTCCATCACCAACTCCCAGAATTTACTCAAACTCATGTTCATCAAGTTGGTGATGCCATCCATCCATCTCATCCTCTGTTGTCCCCTTCTCCTCCTGCCCCCAATCCCTCCCAGCATCAGGGTCTTTTCCAATGAGTCAACTCTTTGCATCAGGTGGCCAAAGTATTGGAGTTTCAGCTCCAGCATCAGTCCTTCCAGTGAACACCCAAGACTGATCTCCTTTAGGATGGACTGGTTGGATCTCCTTGCAGTCCAAGGGACTCTCAAGAGTCTTCTCCAACACCACAGTTCAAAAGCATCAATTCTTCGGCACTCAGCTTTCTTCACAGTCCAACTCTCACATCCATACAAGACCACTGGAAAAACCATAGCCTTGACTAGACAGACCTTTGTTGGCAATGTAATGTCTCTACTTTTCAATATGCTATCTAGGTTGGTCATAACTTTCCTTCCAAGGAATAAGCGTCTTTTAATTTCATGGCTGCCCCAAAACAGAGCCCATCAAGCATTGTTTTGACTCTGCCCACACGGTCCTCTCCTGACCACCGAGGAAGAGTTGTCTGTGTTTCTGTCTGGGCCTGTTTGACGCACACACTCTGACCCCTTCCTCCATCCTCTTTGGAGACCTTGCTCCATCAGATGCCTGTCTCCTTTCTACCACTACAGTCATTTCTTCACTGTTTCTCCCTTTTCAGTATTTCTCCATACTTAAAAAAAAAAAATAACAAAGAAACCTGTGTTTGGAGCAGTTTATTTATTTACCCAGGTTCCATCCTTGGGTTGGGAAGATCTCCTGGAGGAGGAAGTGGCAACCCACTCCAGTATTCTTGCCTGGAGAATCCCATGGACAGAGGAGCCTGGCAGGCTACAGCCTATGGGGTCACAAAGAGTTGGACACGACAGAGCAACTGAGCACATGGAAGTTTTGCCCCCATCCTCCCTGTATACTTATAGTTGTTATTTAAATTAGTTCAGTGTTTTTATTATTATGACTGTGCAACTATTGTTTCCAGCTGAGGCTATGTTTTGTTTCCTTTATTGAATAATGTGGGGGGCCCCCACCCCTGGTATAAATGTATTTTTGTTTATTTGTTTTTTTTAAATCCATCATGGTTTCATTTCCACATTCTCTGACGGCTGGCAGGCACATCTTCTCCCAGGACATTCAGAAAGTCCTTTGAAGTCCTTCTGTCCCTCATATCCACCCTTCCTTCTCTCCTCCAGCCCACCTGGATTGCCATTGCCTGCAGCATCCTAGATCTCAGGCCTAGGAAGTCCACTGTCTGTCTGTGTGCTTGATCCCATGTTTGCTGGATGATGTGATCCTCTTTTGAGACTGTTCCCTCCTTTCAGAGAGTTTTTGGTTTATTTCCTCCCACAGTTCATCTCCTAGTAACTTGCTGAGAAGAAGGGCTTGTGAGAGTAAATATTTAGATATCTTGTGTGTCTCTGTGCTGGGTGCTTGGTGGGCCCAAAAATCAAAAGATAATTGTCTTTTATTTCTTAGGAACTTTCTTATATTATTTATTTATTTATTTTTATTTTTTTCATTTATTTTTATTAGTTGGAGGCTAATTACTTTACATCATTGCAGTGGTTTTTGTCATACATTGAAATGAATTAGCCATGGATTTACATGTATTCCCCATCCCGGTCCCCCCTCCCACCTCCCTCTCCACCCGATCCCTCTGGGTCTTCCCAGTGCACCAGGCCCGAGCACTTGTCTCATGCACCCAACCTGGGCTGGTGATCTGTTTCACCCTAGATAATATACGTGTTTCAATGCTGTTTTCTTGAAACATCCCACCCTCGCCTTCTCCCAGAGTCCACAAGTCTGTTCTATACATCGGAGTCTCTTTTTCTGTTTTGCATATAGGGTTATCGTTACCATCTTTCTAAATTCCATATATATGTGTTAGTATACTGTAATGGTCTTTATCTTTCTGGCTTACTTCGCTCTGTATAATGGGCTCCAGTTTCATCCATCTCATTAGAACTGATTCAAATGAATTC